CAGCCCTGGGCGGGCCTCTCTGGCTGCCTGTTGCACCACAGCCCTGGGAGCTGCTGGGCCACCCCCACGGGGAAGCGAGTTCCCACCTATTTGCAAAACCAAGATGGGAGAAGTCCTGCACTTCCCAAACTTTCTGGACTCTCAAGCAGAGCCACGTTTGGGTATTTTTCCCAGCATCACGGGGGCAGCAGGGCTTGGGGACTTTGTCTGCCCAAGCCACATCTGCAGCAAGGTCACACCTAAAACACGCAGGACCCCTCCAGCCACTCTTCCCTAAAATACGAGGCTCAAACCTCGCCACGGGGACTGGGATGAACCCCCTGAAACATTTATAGGGAGCAACAGGAGCAAACAGGATCCAAAATGACACACAGAGCGCTCTCCTGTGCAAGCCCCTGCCCAGGGCTGGGAGGGGAGGCTCTGCTGGTTGATGGCAGCACCTCCTGGAAGAGACACGGAGGCAGAGTTGTGGGAACCTGTAACGAAATCCCTCAGGAGCTGTTCTCCCATCTCCAGCCTCCTTTCGTCTCCAGCTGCAAGGGCCGGGTGTCAAACCAGTAAAACAGCCACCGCACGTTCAACCTGGAGCCACGGCACATCTGCCCGAGGGTGAGAGCGTGGCACCGCGCTGCCAAAGTGGGGACAGACATTACTGGCCAGAAGAACCCCAAGGTCTTGGATTTGCAGGCTGGGGGAAGGTTGGGGGAGCCCCCTACCCAGAGGGGCACCCAGGGAAAGCTCCCGGGCTCCCCCTTCCCGGGGCAATGCAGCGCCCCGGCTGAGCCGTGATCGACAGCCCCAGCAGAGCCAGATTTCGGGGACTGTCAGTCACAGCCCTGGGCCCAAGCACCGGAGCCAGAGCATCAATCAAATCCCTGTGCAGACAGCATGTCCGACACGGGGTTTGATTAACCCCTGTCGCAGCTGCGCCAGCGTGTGGAACATCACTGGGCTGAGCCAGAGAGGGAGGTTTTAACCCAGACGCCCCTCAGCTTGCCTAAAACTGCCAAAATTGGGGGGGCGGGATGCATCCGGAGCCAAGCAGGCACACAGGACCCCAGGAACAGCACGGCCCTTCTCCATCCACCCCTGCCCTGCCCCAGCTGAGCGTGGCAAGTACAAGTCAGGTCCTCGGTGCTTTCGCCATTCCCGGGGGATCAGAGCTGCTCCCTCATCCTGCCAAGGTCAGTCCTCCCTCTCCCCAGACCAGCGTGTCCACAGCGGGGTGTCAGCTCACCAGCAGAGCAATAAACCCATAACTCCCAGCATCGTGCCCCCTCCCCATCCAGCCTCCTCGGCTTTCCCTGTCCCCTGCCCGCAGGGAGATGGAGAAACTGTTAATTATGTACAGTTTTGGGGAGGGGAGGGCAGGGCTGCTCGAGGGGCTCACCATCCAGCCGGGAAACGGCCCAGGAGGGGAGGCGCCGCTTGGCAAAGGGGGGGGG